GGTGGCCATCAACACGGAGCAGCTCCAGAGCGGCAAGACGGAGATCACGGAGCTGCGACGCACCATCCAGAGCCTGGAGATCGACCTGCAGTCCCAGCTCAGCACGGTACGAGGGGCCGGCTCCCCGGGGGCTGCGGGGCAGGGAGGAGCCCCCGGCCCTTGTGCCCTGAGTGCAGCCCTCTCCTCTGCCCACAGAAAGCGGCGCTCGAGGGCACCTTGGCCGACACAGAAGCCCGCTACGGCACCCAGCTGGCCCAGCTCCAGGTCCTGATCACCAGCGTGGAGGAGCAGCTGGCCGAGCTGCGCTGCGACATGGAGCGCCAGAACCACGAGTACAGGGTCCTGCTGGACGTCAAAACCCGCCTGGAGCAGGAGATCGCCACGTACCGCCGGCTCCTGGAGGGCGAGGACGCCCAGTACGTAGAGGGGCTGTGCCTGGCGGGGCACAGCGGGAGGAGATGGGCAATAGCGAAGGAAATATAGAATGAACAACCTCTGTTCCCTGGAGTACCTTGTGAACTGGGTCTCCCTTTTCCATCCTACTCGTCCAGAACAGCCCAGGGGTTATCCCAGAGCTGCAGCACCGCTGGGCTGCCCTTCCTGCCCCTGCGGGGTTGGTGTGACCCTGGGAAGCAGCCGCACCGCCGCTGCCCCCGGGCTTGTGCTGCGTGACGCCTGAATCCCTGCCGACCACATACACTCGTGCCAGTTCCTCCCTTTCAGTGCTCACACTGAGCAGTTTCCAGAAGGCATTTTAATCACACACTGGTGTAAGGAGGAAAGCCGGGGTTTTAAATAATAAGTTTGTCTTAGAGACTACTCACTTTTTTTCTGTTTCTGACCATTCTTCCTCCATTCTCCTTCTCTAGCATGTCTTCCCACTACATCTCGCAGCCTGTGAAAGAAGGTAAGAACATGGCTTGGCTGAAGCACTGATCACACGGAGCTCTGTCTTATCCTCAGCCACTTTCTCAGTACAGGCTCTTCCCACTAATTTACTAAAATTACTATTTTATTATATTTTCGAAATGGGAACTGGCATAAGCCATTCATGATATACAAAACGTTTCAGAAGATTATCTATGCGGCCTGAAACTACGTAATGAAGTATGTAGGGGCAGGGCTGTGGTGGCTATATGGGGTTTCTGAGGCGGCTGTTTCTAATAAATCTACCCATGAAAATTTATCAGACACTTTCCCCTTCCTTCCCTGGGAATAACGGTTCCTTCCTTCTCCATTGCAGGACCTGTAACCACCCGCCAAATCCGCACAATCTTTGAGGAGGTGCAGGACGGGAAGGTGATCTCCTCCCGCGAGCAGATCACCCAGGCTGCCCACTGAGGCTGCTGCGGGGTTGGCCGCAAACCTCACGTAGCAAAGCAAGAGATTCCGGCCTGCGTGCCCTGGCTGTGGCAGATCACGGGATGCACCCTCTCTTTTTATCATGCCCCTGCTTCCCCCCGCCTTGCTCTAAGCGCTGTGCCGTGCTCAGAAGTGAAATAAAGCTTTTCTTCACACTCGTGCAAACCAGGGTCCTGTCTTGCTGCCCCGAAGCACCGGGGCTGTCCCTCTCCCGGGGCGGTGGGACAAAGCCCCTCTCAGGAAGCAGTCGCACTTTCCACCTGTGGTACCCAGGCGCTGGGGCCAGCGCACCCACGCTCCTCTAACACCCGAGACCTGGCTGCTGATGCGGGCGGAGGTCTGAAAGGAACTGCTTACGTGGGTCACGGGAGGTGGAACTTGTGAGAGTCTTTGTGTTTCATCTCACAACTGGCACCGCGCCTTCCAGGTCGGGGCAAAGCCCGCTTCCCCGGCCGCGACGTACAGCAACAGCAGAGCTGAAGCTTTTAGCTCAGTGAGTCCAAGCAAGCAAGTGGACACAGCCCAGATCATGCAGCCAGGACCCCGCAGACGATTCCCGTCCCAGCGCTGCCTCGGCAGGTGCCGTGTGGTGCCGGTAATGAGCTTTGTGGTAAAACAGAATTAAGCTGGAGATGTGGCAGGGATACACTGGCCGACGCCCCCCCAGAATCACAAACTCAGCTTCCAGAGACACCGCTAAAGGGCGAGGAACACAAGTGATGCTAAGTGGGGGCTTGGTCTGTACAAGCAAAAGATCCGAACTCCTCTGGGAGTTCCCTGTGGCGCTCCCCGGCCGTCGGAGGCTGCTCCTGACGCGGCAGCTC